GGGGGGTGTTGGCTTCATGCTGTTACTAGTTTGATTTATCCCTAATGAGTTCTCAGCACATGGCTGCTCCCGGCTCACTCCAGGGGCCAGCCGGCCCGCCCCGACTCTGCAGCAACAGCAGCAGCTCGCTCAGAAAAGAGCCAATTTCCACACTGCACAGTCCGCTTCACTCAGGGGGAAATCACATTTTCCCGGGAGAGCCGCAGGCGGCGCTTCCCTCCACAGCCTGGCCGGCTGCCACGGGGCACAGATGCCAAGGAGCCGGGTCCCCCACCTCCCCTTCTCTCCCCATCCAAAGCCCCTCTTGCTGCCTTCCAGGAGGCCTGAGTCCTTTCACCGTGTGCCTTAGCCCCTGCTACTTCTCAAGGATAGGGGAAAGAGTGAGGTCAGGGGAAGGAGAGACCTGTCTGCCCTGCCTGCCTGCTCCAGCTTCTTCCAGGAGGGAGAAGCGGGCACCCTCCTTCTATCTGAAGGGCATGGAGATGTGGGGATGGGTTGATGACAGTGGTGTGTGCCTGTGAGAGTGGGGACTCGCGGGGACAGGTGTCTGCCACCCAGGAGGTAAAGACCTCCAGTGTCTGTGTCCCAGTGGTCCCCAAAGAGCCACAGGAGCTGTAGACAGTAATGAGAAGAGCAAGAAGCCAAGGAGAGGGCCATGGGGCGAGGGCGATAGGGAGAGGACAAAGGGGAGAGGGAGATGGGGAGAGGGAGAAGGGAGGGTGATGGGGAGAGGGAGAAGGGGAGAGGGTGATGGGGAGAAGATGATAGCGAGAGGGGACTAGAGAGAGGGAGGAGGGACGCTTCCTGGCATTTCGTGAGCACGGTCAGGGACTCCAAGCTCTCCCCAAACATTCCCTTTCTCTTTCCCTCATTCATAGCCCTGGAGACACAAATGTCTCTCGAACAGTAGGGAAAGGAATAATTGCTGTAGACTCAGCAGAAAAGGAAAAAGACTAGAAAACTAAAAGAAGTGAACAAAGGAAGGAGATAGAGGTGAGAGAGGGAGTTTCCTCCATGAGAACCATAGCCACGGTGGCTTGGCCACTTGGCGTCAGAAGGTAGCACAGCAGCCTGGGACAAAGGAGCCACCAGCTCCTTTATGGAACATGGAAGGCTCTATGACCCTAAAGGTTAGAGAGGGGCTGCCAAAGGGCACCCGGAAGGGAGATTTAGGGCCAAGGATGGAGGGAAGTCTGAGATCAGCCTGGCACCGCCCTGCCTGGCCCCAGTGCTTCTTCTGTTGAGCTCTGGGCCTTGTTGTCCAGTCACGCTTTGCAGGGAGGGGCAGTAGAAGCCACTGTGCCCCAACTGGTCAAGTGACTTCTGCTCCTCCCTGCAACGCAAGGGGTGTCTGAGGTCTCTCAGAAGCCTGGCCATATCCAGATAATCTGAGGCCTGATGATAGGATGCAGATTAGACCTTGGATTAGGGGTCAGGCTGTGGTCCCTGCTCCTCTGCTGACTCGCTGAATGACCTTGAAAAAGTCAAGTTATCTGTTGGTCTCAGATTCCCCAAGTGCAAAACAAAAGAGGCCAATGTTCAAAATCAGAGATGTAAACAGATGTGAATGGAGTTTGTGTGGAAAAAGAAACTAAGCCTGTGCAGAGGGTTATTATCACTTCTGAGGCTGAGGCAGGGCAGAGATGCTGTTAAGCTGTGGGTGCAGGAGCTGCCGGTGAGGGAGCTCAATTCCCGCCCCCGCCTCCCTCAGCCTTGATTGACGGGGCTGACGCTGATGCCCAGGCCCAGTAATAATGGCATTGAGGTCTGCAGTCCTCTTCCTCTGGTGCCCACTCCCAAAGGACAAGGAAGTGTGAATTATCTTAAAGAAGCCTCATGGTTTTTTTTTTTTTTTTTTTTGAGACAGAGTCTCGCTCTGTCACCCAGACTAGAGCACAGTGGCATGATCTCGGCTCACTGCAACCTCCGCCTCCTGGGTTCTCCTGCCTCAGCCTCCTGAGTAGCTGGGATTACAAGCATGTGCCAATACACCTGGCTAATTTTTGTATTTTTAGTAGAGACGGGTTTCATCATGTTGGCCAGGCTGGTCTCAGACTCCTGACCTCGTGATCCACCCGCCTCAGCCTCCCAAAGTGCTGGGAGTACAGGCGTGAGCCACAGTGCCCCGCCAGGAAGCCTCATGTTGATATGGATGGGGAAGGTATTTTGAGTGGTAGAAGTGGGAGGATGGTGAGGGCAGGTGGGAGAGGGGAGATTTTAGCAAGAGCCTCACCCTCTCTGTCTTTCTGTTTCTATCTGGAGGCTCCTGCTTCCACTTCCAGTAGGTTTCACCAACTCCTCTTGCCTGAAGTTGTCACCAGGGTTGAGTATGTGTTTGGCACACAGAGGGCAGAAGACACATATTTCTTAGCCACAACTCATGGCAAGGATATTGGAGAAGTGAGAGATGATGTGACAAGGGGAGGGGTTGGAAGTAGCCTGGGGGCTGACTTTGTAGGTGACGACTCCCAGTTCCACCGTCTCTACTCCTGGAACTTTCTGGTAGAGGGTACAGGTCAGAGCAATTCTGTTCATCTGGTGGGCCCCAGGCAGGGTTCCAGCTGCCCCCTTTCCCAGCAAGAAAGCCACTGCCCTGCCAGGGTGGGTTGGTCCACATGAATTTCCTGCGAGCTCCTAGCACCCTGGGCTGGCCTGGTCTGTGCTAGAACCTGAGGAGGAGGAGTGAGGGTAATGGACCAGGGAGAAGTTAAGAGTAGCCTGCCTGGGAAGCTCAGGTGGTCTCTCTACATGAGCAGTGAAAGGGATTACTCCAGGCGGAAGGGATAGGCCCTCAGTGCTCTCAATGCCTCAGGAATGTTTTGGGCCCATGCCTCATCCCCAGTTCTCCTACCAACACACATACCACGCCCAGAGAATCCCCGGCTCCCCTGTACCATAAAGCAATTCCCCTTCACCTGCGACCACTCACAGATGCTGCCCTCACTCCGCCAGGTGAAACTGGCCACTGGGCAAACCCACAAAGCCCCCTACGTGTCCTCCCTGTCCTTGTCATCACACCCTTCTTCACTGTGTCCCCCCATGTGCCAGCCTGAGTTCTTCCACCACCACCCCAAATGCTGGGGCACTTCGAATTGTCTTTCTTTCACCCAATACATAAATGGCCCTATTTTCTGAGCCCGAAAAGGGGATCCATGGTTTGACCATGGGCAGAATATTGGATAGGTACTAGCCAAGGCCCGCTACATGGGGAGCACATCCCCCAGTCACCAAACACCCGCTCTGAGCGCAGGTTCCTGGCAAGCCCAGCTCACCTCAGGGAAAGAAAGGCAAGTTTTAAACCATGGTCATCTTAGCCAAAGCACAGCCCAAGCCCCTTTGTTGGTTGTGAGTCGGAAAGGGCCTGACGGGTGTACAGAGTGTCTCCAGAGGGGCTGTGGCTGTAAATGCAAGGGATGGCTCTAGGGGCTCCTTCAGATGCTGTGCATCTCAAAGTGATTCATGGGTAGGGAGCACTCGGGATCCCAGAGGTTTGAGGTCAGGAAGACTCTCAGATATCATGGATTCAGAGTCGCGCTGCAGAGGGAAGTCCTGCCATTGAGAAAACAGCTGCATCTCAGATCCCCTCAGAAGAGATGGATTTTCTTCCTGGGACGGCTCCCCCCGGCCATGTCATCCATGGCAGCATCCCTAACCTCCCTTTGGGAGGCCTAAGGAGGTAAGAGCCCTGTCTCCCAGCCTCTGTCCTCCCAGCCTCTGTCCTCCCAGCCCTGGAATCCCTGGGCCCCTTCCATCGGACTCAATCCCAGTGTTGTCTGTCCAGCTGTCCACATTCACCTGGGCATCCCAGCTGCAGGCCCCTGCCCCCTTGTTCCAGCTGGGTCTTACATGCAGAGGGTCCATGTGGATACCAGACAGCCCCCTGGAGTGCAGAGCCCAAGCTGTCACACTGCATTTCCCAAATTTCCTGGAGGGGGTTGGCCTAAAGTCCTAAGTTTCTATAGCCTCCCTCACCTTGTCCTGGCCCCACCACACTGTACCTCTCCATTCAGTCAGGTCAAATCTTAAGCAAATCAAAAGAAATCAAATCCCCAGTGGCAACCCCAGAACCTCCACTGGGTCTAGAACCCTTTGGCATCCCTGATGAGGACCCTGGGGTTTTGGGTACAAGTGTTGGGCTTAGAGTAAGAGGACTTGGTTGAATCTACTACTTCTTATCTTTGGCAAGTCATTTCATTTTTTTCACAGCCTCAGTTTCCTCATATGTAAAAGGAAGCTGTGTGTAAAACAGGGCTAATTTCAACCTAACTTATATGAAGCCCTCCATATTGTGCCTTGCACACAAGAGAGCCCAGTCTTCTCTTTTCCTTCAGAGCTGTCTATGCAGGCTGTCGTCATAGCTATTCCCAGATCCTTCACTAATCCACCCTGCTGATTCTCTGGCTTCCTGTTAATAATAACAGCAACTCCTTGCGGGGAGTCTATGGCTGGCTTGACACTGTGCTATCCTTGCATTTACTCAGTGTCGAAGAACTTGGGATGAGTGAGGTACCCAGCATTCAACATGAATTGAAGGCAGAGGGAGAAGGCCAAGCCAGAGCTGTGGGGCACTAGATGGTCCCTTCCAACCCATGGCCCCAAAGTGAGTTTGTCGGCTACTCAGCTCTGATGTTCTTGGGAGAAAGCCCAGCCCCAAGGTGCCTCCTTCCCCAGCCAACCCCAAAGCCTGAGATGAAGAGCAATGGTTTATTGAGTCATGTGGTAATGGCAGGTTGTCTTTAAAAAAAAAGAAAGAAGCATCAAGGAGAGAAGCCCCACATGGCAAAGAGAGACATTTCACTCAGAGGCCAAAGTCTGGGGGTGGAAAGAAGGAAGCTTGACCCAAACAAAGTTTCATTTACAGTATATACAGTCAGGCCTTGGGGGCAGGAGCTGCTGGGGAGCAGAGAGGGACCCTGTATTGTTGGCTTCAGGGGGTGCCTTGGGTCTCTTCAGTAGCTGGTGGGCGTGGGCTGCAGGAAGCACACTGGGCTTGGCAGGAGCTGTCGGGAAGGGGAAGCGGGTTTCCTGCAATTCTGCCTTGCTCTGCCCTGGGTGAAGCTGCACACCACGCCTCACCTCCCAGGCGCCCAGGCCCTGTGGAATGTCTGTTTTAAGCTGCCTGGGGCTGGTCCAGCTGACGGCAGCTGCAAAGGGGATGCCCCACTGCAGGAGGACCTGGGGTGGTGCTGTACGTTCACAGCGGCAGGCAAAAGAAGTCAGCTGACAGCCTGGTGGAATTTCTGAGGGACTCGCCCCAGCCTTCAGCCAGCCCATGCCCAAAAGGGAGGCGTAGAAAGAGCCAAGCAAATGGTGTGGAGAAAGAGGACAGTTAGAGCCTCCGTGTGGGGCAGGCGGGAGGCTGAGGGAGGTGACTACTCCCTGGGTGGCTGGTGAGGAGAGCCTCAGCACCAGGCTGTGACTTGTGGGCTGGAGGGAAGTGCTTACGGTCCGTAATTGCTAGTTGTGTTAATAATGGAGCCATGGAGGTGCCCTGTGTACCCCTTGGGCCCAGGCAGGAACCATTCGCCATCCCCCCAAGTTCCTTGGCTATTCCTTCTTCTCTCCTTTGGTGAGTACCAGCTGGGGGCTACGTTTCTTCTTCAATTTTGTCTTTTTCAGCATGGCATGGTTCTCTTTCCCTGGGACTCCTGCCCCTCATTAAGGAGTCTTGGAGGACAGTTTGGCCTTCTCCAAGGTCATCCTGTCTTTCATGGTTCATTAAATTAACCACACAGGGAGTGTGCCGCAATGCTGGACTTGTGGTTATTTTTCATGTAATAAATAAAGATCCTTTGTGTGACTCTCTGGGGCCTGTCCCAGGCCGAGTCCTCCTGTTGCTCAGTCGCTCCCACTGTCCCCATGGTAACTACAGATGGTCAAAGGCCGTGGCAGTGGTGGGCGGTGCGCTCGGCCTTGATGTGGAACTGTAATAATATGGGGAACCTGGACACATTAAAAAAAAATAACAACAACACTGCTGGTCAGAAAGGAAAATTGCACCATGCCTTCCCTGCATCTGCTGACCTTTAAGACAACACAAGTTAATCATTCATTTCTCTGGCCTATCTGATCATCAAAGATTAACTCCTCTCCAGCCCTATTTCCTCCTTCTCTGGCCTCACCTTTGAGTTTCTGGCCAGAATGAGAACAGTGGCTTCTTGCCCCTTCCCCCTATGGCTGCTCTGACCTTCAACACCCTCGTTGCAGGGAGAGGGCAATAGAAAACAATTGCATGTGGAACCCCAAAAAATCAAGTGCACTGAGGAGTCATCGGGATCCTCCCTAGCCTTGCCCAAACAGTGCCAGGACAGAGAGCCTTCTCTCTTAAGACCCAGGGAGATTAGACTGCTGCGGGGTCAAAGGGGATCTGGGCTTGACTGCCCTTAAGGTGAGGCTCTGCACACCTGCAGGATGGGCGGCCTGGGGAGACTCAGTGGGAAGGTGCCTGAACCCTGGTATGTCTCATTGCCCTCATCTTTTCTGGTTAAGTTGAATGGAAAGGTGGGTTGGAGTTGAACTCATCTGGCAAACAGGGCCCAGGTCTGCCCCCTTTCAAGTTATTTCTGGAATACAAGGAGGTAATGGGAAGAGTGGGGGTCTTGGGGAATGGATGGTTCCCAGCCTGCAATGGTGCCTGTGGGGTCGGCCATCCTTGGGTCACTGCTTCTGTCTGGCTCAGGTTTGCTTTGATACCCCCAAGGCCACCACTCAGAGAGGCTCTAGTGGGATCCCTCAAGTCCCCATTGGTGGGGTTTTGCTTTGCTGGAAAGCTTATCTTCCCAGTCCAGGACTCCAGGACAAGAGAGGGGTGAAGAGAAGCCTGAAAGCTCACTGAAGCTCACTCTCTGGACTTTGACCCTGAATACTGCCAGCATCTCAGGCTAAATATGGGGAATGTGGTGGAACAAAGGATTTCTGTGTAAGGGTTTGGTGCTGAATCATCTAACCAGCCACTTAGATGGTTAATGGGGGCAACAGGATGGCATTCTTGAAATCGGCTCCCAGGAAGGAGAGCAGTTGCATTCTGGTGGGGTGCCCGGCGTCAGTGTCTGCACTGTGGGACTGTAAGCCGTGGAGGCAGGAGGTCCTCTCTTAGGCTTTTCTCAAGTCCTCCCCTGCCCTCCCCTTCAAGGCCTGAGCCCTGAATCTTACACAAAACAAAGATTGAAAAGACACGGCCTTAAGAAGCAGGAGGGAAACCAATGCCTGGGAGCCTCTGGACTTCTGCCCTCTTTCCCCAAACAACCAGGTACACTGCCCTCCTGCTGCCTTCTTCCATTACAAACACCACCACCTCCCAGGCTGTCTGTATAATCTGAGGCCTCCCAGCTTTCAGGTAACCTTTGACCCACCCTTGCCCCCCACCACACCATCCATCCTGCCCAGCAAAGGCCTGGGCGGCCCCAGGGACTTACTCAGCAAGCTGGAGTTGGGGAAGCGCCAGGCCTCGCTGTAGGACGAGTAGGGGGTGTGGCCATAGGCATTGCCAGAGTATTCACTTCCTGTTAGAGGCACACAGGGGAGAGGCCTGTGAGATGAAGGGCACCAGTGCAGGGCTGGGGTGCAGGGAGGTCTGCAGGGCTGGCAATGGGCAAGCTCAGGAATGGTGGGGGAGACAGTTGGAGCCATGGCAGGGACAGTGGAGTTCAAAAGGTCCCTCTATCATCCCTTTTGGAACCCATCGGTCTGGATAATTTGGGGCAGTGTCCTTTTCCGTAGGTACTGGAGGCACTGGTTTGACACACTACAGCCCTCCCAGGAGGCCCAGAAGGTAGATGTTATAACTATCCCCATTTTCCAGATGAAGAAACTGAGGCTCTGGGATCTGCGGAAGCTCCCAGAGCTGGAGGGTTTGGTGGAGTTAGGAAACTGTGCTGTGACTCTAGGGCCCAGGGACTAACTGCTCCTTCTGCTGCCTGGACCTTCTGCCGAAGGGCTCTTCTGGGAGGGCCCCACAGCAGGGGTATGGGGTTAGGTGCCAAAGAGGAAATCTGTATATATGGACCTTTTTGCCTCCGTAGGTATGAGTGTGTGTGTATGCATGGGGGGCTGAGGGGAGGTGTGAGGGTTAAGGATGGGACAGGAGGGAGAGACCCAGAGGGCACCCACCTCCCGGGAAGCTGCATCCTGGGACTTGGAGTAGTTTGTTGTTCCATCCTGAGTCTGCCACTTTAAGCAAACTCAATGTATACATTTACACAAAGTAAATCAGATCACCTCCTTCTATGAATAGATTCTTGACTTTTCCAAAGGAATTATTTACAGATGAAATTAGTTAAGAATTCCCTGACATAACAAAAACAAAGTCAAGCTGACCACCACAGCCACTACCGGTGCTTGGTGTAGAGCTTAAAGTTTGTAAAGCACTTTCCCACACATTATGATCTTTTATTCTCATGACTACCCTATGAGGTACTCATGGATACCAATTTATAGAAAAGGAAACTGGAGGGCAGCATGATTAAGTAGTTTGCCTCAAATCACATTGTTGTTAAATGTCAGAGTAGAACTCGACCTTAGGGCTCTTGACTCTAAATTGCAGATAATCCCTTTATTCACTTACAAGATAATTCCATTTACAAAGCTAGATTCCTGCCAATCCTGAGACTCAATGAATTTCCACCCAGCCTTTCAGAAACTCACCTACGATTGTGAGCTATGTGGTTCTGAGTTTGCTTCTCAGACTCTCTGGACGGGTTGCTCGAAACTCCCTGAGTCTGGAATTGACCTGTCTAGAGTCAAATTCTTACTTCCCATTTCCTGGTTCTGTAACCTTGGACAAGTCACTTAGCCTCTCTGAGTGAGTGACTTACAGGTGAGCCTTGGTTTCCTCATCTATAAAGTGGGCCAAATAATTATTCCTATCTCATTTGGTTTAACAAGAATTAAATGAGAAAATATGTATTAAATGCTTAGCACCATGCTTCAAATATATAGGGAGCGCTCAATAAATGTAAGCTTTTATTATTTTCCCATTAAACAGGTGTGAAAATAAAGCTCAATGAAGGCTTAAATCAGTCATTCAACCAGTCTTACGGCCTGGGTTGGGGTTAGTGGGAGCTGCTTTATTGCCAGACAAGTAGGCGTTTATACAGGAAGAAGAGAGATGAAGAGGAGGAGCCTGAAGCAGAGAAAGGCTACTGGATCCTTTCCTTGTCTAGGAAGTCAATGACAGATAAGAACACAGTAAGAAAGTTCCTTAGGGGCAGAGACTAAGTCTAATGTCAATCAAGCAAAAAATATGGGTAAAAAAAGGAAGGGGGTAAAGAAGTAAAAAAGCAAAGCAAAAACAAAAAAACAAAAAACAAAAAAATACCCTAAGAAATAATTGAATCTAAACCTCTATTTAACAGATGAAAAACTAAGAAATAATCTACTCTAAACATCTATTTAACAGATAACACATCTGTTACATAGGGAAGTAAAGACATTTGGCCAAGGCCACGTGTTCAGTGAAAGCCTGAACTAGAATCCTGGCCCCGTCCTTCCACACTGGTGGTCTCTCTTGCATCTCCCAGTGCCAAGTGCCCTCTGTTTAGCCCAGGTCTCCCGGGTTTCAGCCAATTCTCTATTGGCCACATAGCAAGGGCCCTAGCACCTTTTACCACACCCTACCCAATGGCAAACACAGCAAGCTCTAAAGGACAAGGGAGAGAGGTGGAAAACACAATGTGTTTACCCTCTCATTTTGTCACTCATTCATGCATTCACTCACTCACCCATTTATTTATGTATTTAACTACCATTTACCAAGTACCTCAGTCACATGGAACCTGGGGCAGGGGATGAGGCTCGGTAGGTGGTACACACCTAGGTGTGGCATCTTCCTGTCACCAGATGTGCCTACCTGCCTGCAGTCACAGCAGATGAAACGTCTCTGCCCCAATGAAAGGCCAACCCTGCCTCTTTGCTTTGCATTCTACCCTACTCACCTTTCCAAGGATTTGGCCGCTCCAACGATCCCATTTTCTGTTTCATCAGTCTCTCCCTTCACCCTGCAAACATACTCTGCTATCTTCTGTCTTTAAAAAATCCCCTTCCTATCCCCACATTCCTCTCTAGTTACCAGTGCCTTTCTCTGCCCCATGGTCTCTGCCTTCACCTTCTTATCCCTTCCCATCAGGCCAACTCTCATCCCCTCAAGTCCCCACAGTCTCTAACTCCATCATACCAATGGTCGCTTCTATATCCACAATTCCCCTGACCGTTTAGCTCATCTCTCTCTCCATGCCTTTGGGTTTGTGATGACGAGTCTTCTGTTTGCTTTGTAACTCAGTTGTCTTTCCTACTCATTCTCCTTGCTGTTCCTTCTCTGTTGAGCTCTAAATTGTTGAAGAACCCCAGGCTTGGTTTCTAGTAGTCTTATCATTAAATGACAGCTTTGTGCAATGGCTGAAATTTATACTCCAGTCAGGATTCTTTCCTGGCTTCAGACATACATGATATACCTACAAACTTATTATAAAACTAGGTATTTAGTAGGCATCTCAATCCTAACATGGCCCAAAAAACTCTTGATTTCCACTTGCCATCTACTACATCACTTCCCCTCCTGGTCTCCCATATATATACTTGCCACCATCATCCATGCCCCAAACCTACAAATGATCCTTGTTTCCTCTATTTTCTCATCCCGACAGCCAATCCACCAGCAAGGTTTGCTGGCTTTGCAGCCAAAATATATTTTCAGGGTCTCTTTTTTCCTCTTTCACTGCTAATTCCCTAGCTCAAGCCACTGTCATCTCTTGCAAGTACTGAAACTGTCTCCTAACTGGTCTGTGCTTTCTCTCTTGACTGTGTACAATTCATTTTCCTAGAAATCAGAGTCGCCTTTTCAAACTCGACCCAGCCACTACCAATTACTTGCTACCATGCTAAACTAGTTCCTGCCTTAGGCCCTTTGCACTTGCTGTTCTTTGGGCCAGGGATGGTCTGCCCCAGTTTATCACTTGGATGGTCACTTTGAACACCTTCTCAGAGAGGTCTCCCCTGACAACCCAATCTAAAGTAGTTATCTCCTCTCCCTGTGGCTCTTTATTACATCATCCCGTTTTATTGTCTTCACAGACAATAAATTATTATGTTTATTCATTCGTTGACTTATTTACTGTCCATTTCTCTTCACCATTAGGTTATAAGCTCCAGCAATAAAGGAATCTGACTTATTCACTGCTGTATCCCCAGCATCCCATACAGTAGACCTTCAACCAGTATTTGTTAAGTGAAAAAGTGGTGAATGAATGGATGGAAGGACGCAAGGATGAATGAAAGTGTGAATGATGGAAGGATGGATGGGTGGAAAGATGGATGGAAAGACAGATAGATAAAAGGATGTATGTATAGAAAGATGGATAGATTAATGGAGGAATAGATTGAAAAGGGGATGAAAGATGGATGTATGAGAGGATGGATGGCTGGAAGAATGGATGATGAAAGGATGGATGGAAAGATAGATTAAAGGATAGTTCTGTGAAAAGATGAATGGATGAATGAATATGGATGGAAAAATAAAAGGATTGATGGAAAGATGGATGGATGGAAAGATGGATAATAGATAACTGGAAAGACAGATGAATTAAAAGATGGATGGAGGGGACGGGCACGGTGGCCCATACCTGTAATCCTAGCACTTTGGGAGGCAAAGGCGGGCAGATTGCCTGAGGCCAGGAGTTTGAGACTAGCTTGGCCAACATGGTGAAACCCTGTCTCTACTAAAAATACAAAAATTAGCCAGGCATGATGGCAGGTCCCTATAGTCCCAGCTACTGGGGGAGGGGCGGGGGGCTGAGGCAGGAGAATCGCTTGAACCTAGGAGGCAGAGGTTACAGTGAGATAAGATCACGCCACTACACTCCAGCCTGGGCAACAGAGCAAGACTTTGTCTCCAAAAAAAAAAGATGGATGGAAAGATGGAAGGATTGGTGGAAAGGTAGAGGATGACAGGATGGATTACGAAAGATGGAAGGATAGATGGGAAAATGCATGGATATGTGGAAAAATGTATGGGAAGATGAATGAGTGGAAAGATGACTGGATGGATCCATATATCTGGAGCTGCTGGTTCTGCTCTAGAACTGGTTGAGAATCATTGACTGTTAACGGAGTCAGAACAAAAAATAAAATAAAATAAAATAAAACAAAACAAAACAAAACAAAACAAAACAAAACAAAATAAAAGAGAAACAGAAGGTGAATAGACAAGGGAAATCTGTCCTAGCCCTTTTCCTGTGCTCCTCTCTTGTAGCCTACGTCTTTATTTCTGGTATGGTAGGAGACAGTATGGTGTAGCGGAAAGAGTCTTAGACATGAAATTGAAAAACCCGTGTTTGCACAACTCAGTCACTGAGTATGATTACGACCCTGAGCACACCACTTTCCTTTTGCTTCAGTTTCCTTATCCATAAAACTGGGATAGTATTAGCCTCTCAGTCTTCTGGTCAGGGTAAAATTAGAAATAAAGTTACACATATTTGAATGGCTACACATGTAGAAGTACATAATAAGTGATCCTTCCTTTCATAATCGATTAAAGAATGTCTTTGGCATGCCTTGCTTTAAGCATTTATCATGTACCTAACATGCATGCAGTAGGTGCTCGATGAAAGTTTATTCACTTTAATTGCAGGAATCCCCATTTGATCAACTGGGAGATTGCAGGTGGTGGTAAGAGATGGACATATAATTTTTCCACAAAAAAAAATTCCTTAAGAATTCATTTGCGCAATGCTATCCCTAGGAACCAAGTGATTCATTTAAATAGTACTGCATTTTCTAAAAACTGATTTTCATGGAACTCACTGGGAGCCCAACTGTGTGGGACAAGGTCCCTCCTGTGTGGATTTTACTTGCAGTCAGTGTCCTAGTTGTGCTATTTTTTTTTCTTTTTCTTTTTCACAGCACCCACTCAGGATTCTTTCTGGAAACAACCTGGGGGACTTTGATGAGAGGCCCAAGCCTGCCAGCTACCTCACAGGTCAGACTCTGGGCCCCAGAAACCCGTTGCCCTGGGCCTGCCCTCAGGGAATGATTCATAATTAAGAGAAAAGCCTTGTGCTTTATGTTTCTTCCTCCTCCTCTAAGCAGGCGGCAGGGGAAGGTGGAGGGGTTGGAAGGGGAATGGGGGGAGCCGACTGGAGCCTGGGATTTTGATTGAGAGGCCCCATTATCCACACTCTTAAAAAAATAACCGAATCTTTTCCTTTTTTATCTTGACCAATCTCATTTCACGCTCCAGAAGAGGAAGGGAGGGAGGGAGGGAGTCCGGGGCCAGGAGGGAGAGAGGAGTCAGTATTCTGTATTTTCAACGCTGCATTAAGCACATCGCCACGGTAACCAGGCAGCAACAAGTGCCAGCTCAGCAGGTTCCCAGGGAGCACAGAGCCTTTTTCCCTCCTTCTTTCTCTCCCTCCCTTCCCTCTGCCCAGGAGATCCCAGCCCACCTGCCTCTGCATAGGGTGCCCAGAGTGGGTGGCTGGCAAAGATTAACTCCTGCCGGCAAGGAAGGGAAGCAGGCCTAGGTAAATATGCCAAGTCTCTGGGGTCAGAGCCAGAGAGGCTGGCCTAGGGCTGGCATGGGGGTCACAGATGCCTTGTGTTCAGACCTCTTTCCAGAAATTCCAGGTCTCAGGCCTTTTTGACCAGTGAAAATGGCTCAATTATGTCTCATCCATCCCAAAGTCTTTCCTATACAGCTCCTAAACAATTGAGACTTGCCCAAGGAAACTCCCATTATCTTCGTTTGTTCAGATCTTGTCACCTTGAATCATCATTGGATGATGACTGGCAGACAAAGAAACCCAAATGACTGGCAGGCAGGTTCCAGGACGGTTCAAATGAGGATGGAGAGCTACTCCAGGCTCGTTTCATCCTCTATAGTACTCTTAGAGTACCTAGAACCGGGGTCCTATCCATGCAGGGTTGAGAGAAAGTGAGATGTGAAGCATATATTTCATCATCATGGTCATCATCATCATCATTATCATCATCATCAATACCCTTCCGATTCAGATTTTACAGAAGGGGAAAACGGATTCATCAGAGTTAAATCACCAGGAGACCAAGCACTGCTTGAGGGTAGGGCTCATCTTCCACTCACAGCATTTTGGGGCCCTTGAACTGCTCTCCATTTATGCTCACTGATTCACTGGAAGAAGTGGTGGAGCTTGGATTTGAACACAGGTCTGTCTCAGCCCCTCCCTTTTCATCATGGAGGGTAATGTGGCAGGCCTGGGAAGAAGGAGGCCGAGCTGGGGCGAGTTAAACAGGGAGTCAGGACTGCACTGGGATATTGTCTCCAGGCATTTACAAGATGCCCCCTTTGGTCCATCCTTCAATGCCCTTCGGGAAGTCTATGAATAGGGCACAGAATGCCTCTTGCCCCTCGTGTCCCACCTTGCTCCAATACTTCCTCTGTGCAGTGCTCCCCTCCCTGCCAGCCCTCTCCTTACCTGCCACCATGCCTGCGATGGCAGAGGAGGCATAGCTGCCCTGTCCGCTGGTGGGGATGTGGGGTGGGTATCCGGGCAGCGTGGGCCCCACCATGTCTCGCCCTGGAAAAATACAGCAAAGAGTCATCAGTTGGACCGTAGAGGCTCCCATATGTATCATCTCACTCTCCTGAGGCTGTCTTCCCCCATGCCATTCCCACCCACTCTACAGTCATTCTCCAAACCCACTTCCTCCTGCCCCCTCCTCTTGTAAGCCCAAGTTCTTGTCACCTCTGTCTGGTCTTCTGCAGGACAGAGGCTTCACCATGCAGGGAGCACTTGTTACTGCAGTCTCACACTGTTCCCTGTTCTCCAGTGGTTTTGTTTACGTGATTGTTATCTTATTAATCCACAAGAATGTCCTGGTATTAAAGGCTGAGGCTATGTCATCTGTTCTTTGTTATCCCCGACAGTAACCTGCAGAGCAGTGGGTACAGCTGGCCTCCATAAATACATTTGAGGCCACTTGACTCCGAGCTCATCCCTTTCATTCCTGGCTCTGAGGAGTACCAACAATAAGACCCTATGAAGGGATGGCATGTATGTGGCCCACTAACTCATCACTATTTTTTGGGGGGGGGCCTGTGACAGACATTGCTAATCAACCACTAAACCATTTCCCACTGAGTAGAGGCGGCCTTCCAAGTGGATGTAATCTATCAGAGTTGCAAGGTACAGGAAACCGATTGGCTAACCCCAACCTGGAAGGAGATGTGGCTGAGATATTTCACTTTTACATGACCATGAGCCACATATCTGTCAATTCTATTTTGAAAAGAACCATTTTTAGCAAAACAGACCCCAATCTCTCTGTTTCTCTATGGCTTGTGGGTCATACTCCAACCTTGGTGATACCAAATCAGCTCTGTAAAGACCTCATTTCCCAGCTCTACTTCTCCCCTACGTCGAGAAATCACTTTCCGATTCCGGAGGCCCCACCTGATCTGGCGAGCATCTCCCCATCTACTACATGACAATGAACATAAACATGATCCCTGGATCCTGCCCCTCTTCTATTGCTCCTGTGTCCTGCAGGCCCCAACCAGACTCTCCTTCACCCCGAGATTCTTGGCAAGGTGACGACAGTACACCCTGGTTTGCCAAGGTGTACCCAGGTGATGACCACTATCCCAGCATATTTATTAATTATGCCCATTTCACTCTCAAAATGCTCCAATTGGAATAATGAGTTATTTGCTCATCCTAGTTCTTGGTAATATTTACAGAGTTTCTCAGTCTCAGCAATATTGGCATGTTAGGTGCACAATTCTTTGCTGCAACAGGCTGTCCTGTGCATTGTAGGATGTTTAGCAGCATTTCTGGCCTCCATCCAGTAGATACCAGCAGCAGTTTTCACCCAATGTGACAACAAAAATGTCTCCAGACATTACCATATCTCCTCAGCAGGAGGTAGTAGGGGCAAAATCGCTGCTGGCTAAGAACCATTATGTTGGACTATGACTGTTTTACCCAAATGCCTTCTGCCTCTTCCATTTTGGGGGCTGCTTTTTCCTCCCAAAACCTGTGTGGGTCACTGTGAGCCCCTGTTAACCAACTTACCAAATTCATCTCCTCTATGGTACTGCTTGTCCAACTTTCCGCCCATCAGTCCCCCCCAGGTCCTTCATACCTCAGCCCCTTCAAGGGGTGCCTGGTCATGACAGAAGGAAAGGAAGGCCCCATGAAATCCTGTTAAGTTGCCAATGCTACAGTGACTACCTCCTCCTTATCTCTCTTTCTGGAGATTCCCCAAAGACAATGTTCATTTGCTAAATACTGACTGAGTAACTACTATGTTCTAGACACTTTTCTAAGCACTTGGGTACATAGCAGAAAGCCAGAATGCTAAATTAGCAAGGCCAGGCACTAAATCAAGAAGGGACATAGGCTGGGATAGGCATTTGGAGCCAAGCCCAAGGGGTCAATGAACAAAATCAGGCACACTCAACTTCTGCGCTTTCTCTAGAGGGAAGGGCCTGGGAATCAGAGGGCCTGGGGTCCTTATACTGCTTCTGTGTCTAGTTTTCTGAGTGCCCTTAGATAAGCCTAGTATGTGCCCCAAGTGTCAGTTTCTTCAAATGCAAAATGGGTGGGGGGTGGGGAACCATAGCTGGAGGCACCTTATTACAATTTCTATGAGGTTGTCTGTATAATTCAGAGCCAGGGTTTCATGCTACAGGTGGACATTGATTAGTGCAATGGACACATTCTAGAAATGGTTATATGCCAATGAACTCCTACAGAATAAGAGCCATCAGTGTTCATTGGTTAAAACTGTGTGAATGTTTTGGTAAACCGGAACACCACCTTCTAATTTGTCTGACTATTCCTGCAGTGTCCAGCTGTGCTTGGTGCTGGACCAAATGGGGTGAAACCCACTAGCATACCACAGGTGGGCTCAGTTCACCTGACACAAGGTCATCAAGGGAACAAATGAAGGGTTGGAAACACAGGAGGGGAAAAGAGGATTTTAAGATATTTAGATGTAGAGGGAGAAATATGCAGAAGCTATACTGAGATAAAATCTGAGCTTTCTGTGAAGAATACAACACAATAGACCCTCAAACTCAGCCCCCTTGGCCCTGAGATAAAGCACCGGCTAGGCAAGAGGGAAGGAGTGACAGGAAGTCTGTGAGAGCAGGAGGAGCACAGGGCAGGGACAGGTGGTGAGGGAGGGAGTGATGGAAGAGGGTGGCAGATTCAGGCCTGCTTCCTTCTTTTCTCTTCCCTCCCTACCTCCTCTGAGAGAGAGAGAGAGAGAGAGAGAGAGAGAGAGAGAGAGAAAGGGAACTCTAGATCCAGGCCGGAGCCTGGATGAAAGGTAGCCACTTAATTCTCTGAACCACATCTTCCTGCCTGTCACATAAGGAACTAGTTTAGATTTCAGCTTGTAAACTGGATTCACCTGACTACTTGATTGGCTGGTAGGGGCTTCCTGGCACCCAGTGTTGAGAAGGATTCTGAGGCAGCTTGTGTCTGCCATGATCGGGGTGGGGAGCAGTGGGAAGTGGTCTTGGCTCTCAGGTCACCTGTTTGCTGGTGCTGGCCTCGTGCCCTGCAGCGCTGCTTCTGGCCTGGCAGCCTGCGGCCCCGTGCTCCCCCTCTCCCCGCCCTCATCCTGAACCTACTGCCTCTCGAGCCTAGCAGAGTAGCAGGCAGAGTTCCAGAGCATATACTCCCCTTACAACACAACTTAATGTGGTCCACAGGTGCCCCTACGGGGCTCTACCGCATAAGAAGTAGCCCCCACATTGCTCTTATAAATGAAATTCATCAGCCTCACTTCCCTGTACTCTAAGATTTTAATCTTCATCTCCCCTCAGTCACCTAATGTCTTCCCAATGGGGTAGAGGCTTCTGAATTGGACATCAGAACAGATGCCTGAGGCTTCCTCCCACGAAAGCTGGTCTTCCTGGAAAGACTGGTAAGACTTTCTTCAGCATAGCTCTCACCAAGACTGTGGCACCATAAACTTTCCCAACAGCCCTACAAAACTCTTTGCTCCAATTGCTTAAATACATAGTTCCTTCCAAAAAGCCAAGAAGCTTGCAAGCCTTCTTAGAAACAAAACCACAGAAGCCATGGGGTGGAAACTGCATCAGGGCCTAACCGTGCCCTCTTATCTACTTCTCTGTTTTTAAGACTCTTCATCATAAAATATCCTAGCTATGAATTCCATCTCCTCTACACCCACATATCCGTCCAATGTGGTCCTATTTTTAAGAAGTTGTCAGAAAGCACAGGCCCATGTTGACTGGCTATGGAGTGGGGTTCTCTAAGAAAACTCTAGCTCCCTCCACACCTTGAAATATTGGTACATATTCTAAATATGGGTAGAGACCAGAATCATAAAGCTGTTGCCTGGAGGAATTCGGAGGGTAGAGGTGATTTCAGACTATTTTATTTGCCCCCTTTGAAGTCTGCCCTCTATGTAACCCCTTTTCAATTCCTTATCTCGTTCTGATAGCAAAGAGAATTTATGGCAACCCAGAAATCTCTTTGGCAGAACTAAATATAATTTTGTACAAAAGGATGGAGGAGGGGAATGGACTCTTTGATGATAAAACCTAGCTCACAGCTTTCCTTTGAGCTGAGCTGGAGTCAGTCCCAGAGCAGCTGGGACCAGGACGGCCTCGACATTGCTGTCTTGGCCAGTGTGTTGGGACTCCAGACCAGCGTTTCCAAAGGGAACTGGCGGCAATGTTAGGGGCACTCTTTCTACTCCCCAAACCCTGCTGTTTCCTCTTTCTTGGCTGACTGGGGACGAGCTGAGACTCAGAAGGATAGTCACCTTGGAAATCATACTATCAGAGCCACTGGGCCGAAAGAAGTGACCCAGAGAAAAACACTATGAAGCAGGTAAAGGAGTCGCAGGAGGCGGCAGCGAGGGTCCTTGGGAGTCACTCAGAGGGGTGCGGAAGATTGACGCAGGTTAAAGCTGAACTGACCGTGGAATGAAAACTTACTGTGTCCTCTGCAGCATTACCCAGGAATAATGTGGTCTCAGCTTCCTTCTCTTTCTTGTCTTTTTTTTTTCTTTTTTGAGATGGAGTTTTGCTCTTGTTGCCCAGGCTGGAGTGCAATGGCATGATCTTGGCTCACCGCAACCTCCGCCTCCTGGGTTCCAGCAATTCTCCTGCCTCAGCCTCCCGAGTAGCTGGGATTACAGGCATATGCCACCACACCTGGCTAATTTTGTATTTTTATAGAGACGGGGTTTCTCCATGTTGGTCAGGTTCATCTGGAACTCCCGACCTCAGATGATCTGCCCACCTTGGCCTCCCAAAGTGCTGGGATTACAGGTGTGAGCCATCGGGCCCGGGCTCCTTTTCTTTCTTTCAAATTCACCTCTTCTTGGGAAGGTCTGCAGCCTCCTGTGCTCTTGGAACCATTCCCTTCCTAACCTTCTCCCACCCCGTCATGTCCTCCCAGCCCTCTCACCATGGCTCAGCCATGTGTTAGGTATCGAGGTCCAGTCTTGACCAGAGGCCTCAGGTGGACAGTCTGCAAGGAGCTCCAGGCCAACACTCTGAGCTCAGCATGGACACCAGCCATCCCCTCCCTTGTGCCTGAGCCGCTTTCTGACTTGCTTCCTACTCTTGGCCATTTGCCTGGACCCCAGATCCTCCAAGCCTAGCACTCTTCACTCTTTTCAGAGCCTCTGCCTCTGTGCTGAATTGTCAGCCCTTGGTCTAAGGGGCCCTGTGACCAGCCAGCAACCTTCAAAGTGCTCACACCTGCACTTCAGCATCATCTGGGCCTGGGTTGGGGGCTACCAGCCTGAAGGATATGCTGATGCGGCATATTTGGCTGCCTGCTGCCTGCATGACCACCTGGTGTCTGCTGCCAGCTGTTTTATCCCATGGGTTGGGTGACCTCTCAGTCCTGCAGTTGGCCTAGAGAGTGGGCACGTCCACTAAATTAACAGCTGACAGTAGTTGGAGGCATCACCTCCGATTGACTGCATGTTGACAGGGGATGCTAACAGGATGACAGGGAGGGGACAAAGTGTGGGGGCTTTGGGAGTAGGGAGTTTGCCCTGGGCTGTTCCAATTACACTTTACACCACAGCCTGTGTCTGCACCACAGCCTGTGTCTGCACTGTGATACATCCATCCGCTTCCAGTTGCCCTAAATCCCTCCCTCTCCTTCAGCTGGTCCTGCCAAGCCTCTCCACGGCTTGTACAGCAATTGCTCCCCATCATCATGGGCACCACCGCACCCTCACCCCTTGCCTACCCCGTGACCACCCCCAGCCCTAGCCTGCCATTCTCAGAAGACATGCAGGCTTGTGTAACTCCCTGTAACTGACATGAGCCTCTTTTTCTCACCCCCTCCCTGCCTCTCTCTACCCTTCCCCTCCCTTCCTCTCCACTCTCCTCACATTCCCCTCCCTCCCCTCATCCCATTTTCTCTGGCTGACATAATTTTACTGAGCTCACAGGTTTTTCTCCTGTAATCACTTTGGTCAAAACAAATGACCCATCTCTGCTGACTTCACCCTCTTGAATTCTTGAACTCCGAGTCAACATTTTATTCCTCGCTTTAGATCCTTAAACACCATCTCTCTGCCCACACGCTGGATGTCCCTCTCTTCTAAGAAAATTTCTCACATTAGGTGCAGGGATGCACAGAGGGGGAAAAAAAACCCGGGTGCCAGCCAGAAAGAAAATGTAGAGCCAGTTATAAAAAAGGATCCATGGGCCGGGCGCGGCGGCTCAGCACGTTGGGAGGCCAAGGTGGGCAGATCATGAAGTCAGGAGATCTAGACCATCCTGGCTAACATGATGAAACCTGATCTCCACTAAAAATAAAAACAATTGGCCGGGTGTGGTGGTGCGCACCTGTAGTTCTGCTACTCGGGAGGCTGAGGCAGGAGAATCTCTTGAACCCAGGAGGCGGAGGCTGCACTGAGCTGAGATCACACCACTGCACTCCAGCCTGGGCAACAGAATGAGACTCCATCTCAAAAAAGAAGGGTCCATGGACTTGTATCACATGACCCTGTGGTAACTCTGGGCTGGCGGAGGTTTTGCTCTGTTGGTGCAGTGGTTTTCAAGTCCAAGGGCTTTCTAGGGGTAGGATTCCCCTTCTAAAAGAGCAGTTCTTCAGGGGTCTGGTGAGCATACATGGCTTCTGTAAAAGGCTTCATTTCAAGAGAGCATTGAGAAGCCCAAATTTGAAACCACTGGTCCAAATGGACTGTCTGACTCTGGGCTGCCTCTGTGATGGGTCTCCCACACCCCACTCCCGCACTGGTCTCTGCTCTAGCATTTCAAGGTCATCAGGGTAGGAGGGTGTGGGAGGTGAGGAGGCATTTACTCTGTCACTAAATACCCACACTCCTTGGAGACAGTGCCAATATTTTTTTTTATTTTTTATTTTTTATTTATTTATTTTTTTTGAGACGGAGTCTCGCTCTGCCGCCCAGGCTAGAGTGCAGTGGCCCGATCTCAGCTCACTGCAAGCTCCGCCTCCCGGGTTCCCGCCATTCTCCTGCCTCAGCCTCCCGAGTAGCTGGGACTACAGGC